ACTCAGGAACAGGTGGGTAGATTATAGTCTGTGTTTGTGTAGCTTTTTGGATCTTCAGGTTCTAAAGTTCTGCAGATAAAGTGATACGGTGAGTTTTTTTCTTCACAAGAACTGAAGCTAGAGCTCGGCTTTCCGCCTAGATTTAGGTTCTCACGGTCCTCCTCTCACAGCTTGAACATCTCCAACTCTGGCAAAGCTTTTTGACGTTGGACACTAACGTTGAAACTCAGCTGGGCATTATGGGTAGAAATTCCCTTAATGGTTGGTTTCCTGGAACAGAACCAGATTCTACTGCGGGACGCCATTTCTCCTCTCGCTGAATGAGTTTACAAAGTGTTCAGGGAGGCCACTTCGTTCACAACTCAGTTCCTGTCTTCACTCAGTCTGAAGGGATCATTTTAAGGGTTGGAGGGCACTTCCCCCTAGCTCCTATAAGTATTAGGACACACTAACCTTACGCATGAACACGCAAAACCGAGAGCTAGGGACCAAACCGAGAGCAAGCGAGAGAGATGGGACTGGGCCTAAGTCTACTTTAAAGTAGGCTTATTGTCATTTTGTATGCAGAGTTTATTAAAAAAAACATTTTGTTTTGTACAGCTTTAATGACATTTCCATTTCTTAAAGTGCAGCAGTTATCAAATCTAAACATTGAGGGAGAAACAAAACCCATTAATATGGTCAATGTGATGCAGAGTCTGTGACATGATTTAGTTTTTTCAACACTCGGCTGTCAACCAGCTAAGTAGAGTTTAACTTGTCCCTCCTTAGAAACACCTCAGGAGAGTTTTTTATTTCAATGAATCAGGGGCAAGCATTGCTGTCTTGCAGCAATGCTTGGAGATGGGCACCAGCACCCCTCGTGACCCGCTTGGAATAAGCGTGATGGAAAACGGATGGAATCAGGGGCAATCAGCTCTAAATACACGTTGGATACACAGACAAATGACACACTAAATGAAGAAGGATGTTAAACTGTAAGAACCACAATACATTAAAACACTTAGAAATTATATAGGGGTCTGAAATTGTCCAGTGTTAGGCATGATCTAAAAAAACAATCCAGAAATCACAATCTTTCTTTGTATGATACACCTGCTATTATCAGCTAGATTTCTGACCCTCAAAGACCTGTTAGTCTGCCTTCACTAGTCCACCTCCACTCCATTTATTATCCTGAATTAGCTGCATAAAGACACCTGTCCACCCATACAATCAGTAAGAATCCAACTACTAACAAGGCCAAGACCAAAGAGCTGTCCATAGACACTAGAGACTAAATTGTACACCTCCACAAGACTAGAAAGAGCTATGGGGAAACTGCCAAGCAGCTTGGTGAAAACAGGTCCACTGATGGAGCAATGGTTAGAAAATAGAAGAACCTAAACATGACTGTCAATCTCCCTCAGACTGGGGCTCCATGCAAGATCTCACCTGGTGGGGTCTCAATGATCCTAAGAAAGGTGAGAAATCAGCCCAGAACTACATGGGAGGAGCTGGTCAATGACCTGAAAAGAGCTGGGACCACCGTTTCCATGGTTACTGGTGGCAAGACGTCATGGTTTGAGGCCATGCATGGTAGGAAGGTTCCCCTGCTTAAACCAGCACATGTCAAGACCCTTCTGAAGTTTGCCAACGACCATTAGGATGATCCAGAGGAGTCATGGGAGAAAGTCATGTGGTCAGATGAGACCAAAATAGAACTTTTTGGTCAGAATTCCACAAACCGTGTTTGGAGGAAGAAGAATGATGAGTGCCATCCCAAGAACACCATCCCTACTGTGAAGCATGGGGGTGGTAGCATCATGCTGTGGGGGTGTTTTTCTGCACATGGGACGGGGCGACTGCCCTGTATGAAGGAGAGGATGACCTCCTTCCCTCAGTTAGAGCATTGAAGATGGGTGAAGGCTGGGTCTTCCAGCATCACAATGACCTGAAGCACAGCCAGGATAACCAAGGAGTGTTTCTGAAAGAAGTGGTAAGGTTCTGGCATGTCCTAGAAAGTCTCCAAACCTAAACCCAGTAGAGAATCTTTGGAGGGAGCTCAAACTCCATGGTTCTCAGCGACAGCGCAGAAACCTGACTGACCTAGAGATGATCTGTGTGGAGGAGTGGGCCAAAATCCCTCCTGCAGTGTGTGCAAACCTGGTGAAAAGCTACAGGAAATGTTTGACCTCTGAAATTACATACAAAGGCTACTGTACCAAATATTAACAATTATTTTCTCAGGTGTTCAAATACTTATTTGCAGCTGTATCATAAAAAAATAGTAAAAAAAAAAAATCAAACATTGTAATTTCTGGATTTATTTGATTTCTGAGTTGGAGATCTTACAGAAAAGCAGGTTTTTCAGATACTTATTTCTTCCCACTGTGTTTGACGTTCAGCATGGATGTTGGGTTCTTCGTGTAGGGGACACCTTGTCTGTTTTTTCTTAATTTTAATTCAATTCAAATATACTTTATTAATCCCTGGAGGGAAATTAAATGTTTATGTAATGTTCCTCAGCTGCTCTCCTGATGGAGGAGGGAAAACATGGATTCCCTGTTGTCTTAAGCAGGACTGGACTCGTCACAGACATGATCCCAATGGGATCTGGGATAAAGCCTCAGCTATTCCTGGACTGATGCAGCCAGATCCCATAGATGGCATCCCATGATCCCCTGTGCTTTACTGACTGATGAATGAATCTGTGGAATATATAACCATTAAAAAAACCCTGAATCTATTAACTGTTCTGATTAGAGGGAGTTTAAACATCCTAAACAAACACAGAAAGGCCAAGTTTTCTTTGGGGTTTCTACATGCAGGGCCACAGCTTTTAGGAGTAAGAGCTTCCTACTGAGCCTGTGCAAAGCAATGAAAGTAGAGTTGTTAGGAGGCACACCCCCCCTTGCCGTTCAAAGATATGCCTTATTAACATTTTTTTGGTTTAAATTTTCTTTTTGTAAATGATCTACCTGCAGTGGTCATAATAGATAATCAGTTAAAATCTACCAATAATCTGATTGGATGAAAGCTGTTTGCAGCTTTCTGCTGCAGGGTTTGTATTTGTCCAGCAGAGGGGAGTGAAGGAGCATGAAACCAGTTTTCCCTGGGCTGTGACTGCAAGGTAACATTTGTTTAACCATCTTTATTAGGTAATAATAATGTTACAGTGTATTTTAGTAATTGTTTTCTACATGATGCCTTTTTATTTGATGAAGCTGCTCATTTTTTTCTTTTAACCTCAGTGTTTCTGTTCTTTTTAACATTTGAGAAACAAAATGATCACAGTGGGGCAACCCTTCTCACCCACTCATCTCACAGGACTTAAAGTGGGAGTGTAACATCAACTCCCTCACCAAGAAAGCCCAGTAAAGGTTATACTTCCTGCGGCAGCTGAAAGAATTCAACCTGCCAAGGTGAATGATGGTTCACTTCTACTCCTCCATCCTCACCTCCTCCATCACCATCTGGTACGCTGATGCCACTGGAAAGGACAAAGGCAGACTGCAGCGTGTCATCTGGTCTGCAGAGAAGGTGATTGGCTGCATTCCTCCATCTCTCCAGGATCTGTACACCTCCAGGACTGTAAGGGGGTGCAGGGAGGATTGTGGCTGACCCCTTCGCACCCAAGCCGCAAACTCTTTGAGACACTTCCCTCTGGCAGGAGGCTGCGGTCCATCACCACAAGAACAGTTTCTTCCCATCTGCTACCAGCCTTATCAACAAGGCCCATATATATAATTTGTCTGCACCATCAACATCAAGGTAAGTTCCTTGTAAGTGCAAACCTATGGGACTACGTTTGTAAAGTTAAGCATTGAAAAATTAGGAGCAATATTTCTGGTTATTTAGCGTGTTTTAAGAGAAAAATAACAATAATCATTTATAAAAATCTTAATTTGTTAAATAGTTATTTAGTTTGAAGCTAAATATTGATTAAACAAACTAAATGTTTACTTTGCAGACTAAATATTTTTTTTAACAAACTCAGATTTTTATAAACTAATGATGGAAAAACATAAACCCCTTATTATTTTCTTAAAACACGCTTAATAACAATAAATATTGCTCCTAATTTTTTAATGATTAACTTTACAAACGGCGCCCCATACAAACCTACTTTGCAATAAATCTGACTGTGATTCCAGAACCCCAGCCTGGAGCTGAAACATGTGAGGTTCGTGATTCTCTGCTGTCGTGTGGTGTTCCCCAGGGCTCAATTCTGGGACCTTTGCTCTTTACTTTGTACTTCCTTCCTCTGGGGTCTATTTTTAGAAAATATGACATCTCCTTCCACATGTGGCTGATTGAGCCTGTAAAATGATGGCAGGTCAATAAAACCACTTTTATTGATGTGTAGGGGATATTATTAAAGCTTGGATAGCACTAAATGACACGGCATTTTAATGAAGAAAGAACAGAGGTGTTTGTTTTTACTTGTTTTTCTATGTTTGATGTACAGCACTGTTTCAGTTTTGGTTGTTGTTAAAGTGTTTTACAAATAAACTGATGATGATGATTCTCCATGTAAATTATTCTGATATTTTGAAAATTATAAAGGATATCTCTGTATATATTATTGATCAGTAGGTTGTTTTAAAAAAAAATAAATAAAAAGTAAATAAAAGTGGAGATGATTGCTTGATCAAACCACAGGAGGAAACATTTAAGCAGGGAGGCAATTAATGAAAAGCCTAAAACTCATAAAACAGCAATAAATTTTCCAGAGTGCTTTCTTTTTTTTTTTTCCAGGGCACAATTTTCCTTTGTGCAATTATAATTATATAATGATTAACTGATAACACATGCCAGGACCTAAATTGTTGCTTCTTTTCCTTGCTTGTTAAATATTTTCAAATATATTATTAGAGAATTACTTATATGCTGATAGTATTTCTAAAACTAAATAAATATTTATTATTTTTATTTATTATTGTTGTGAAAACTTTGTGGTTTAATTTTGAAAATCCTGTGGGCGGGGCCAGTACTTCAGGCTGCCTGTCAGTCAGCGCTCAGGGACAGATTGACCCTAGCTGCTGTGCAGAAAGCTGCGGCTGCTGATCTCCGAACCGAACCGCAGTCTAATAGTTTCCTCTGGAGAGGAGCTCCATTTGTCAGAACCGGAACCGAGCAGGTGACTGGTGCCATGCAGTTCTGACCCGGTCCGGACCTTTGGATGCTGCAGGTAAGCTCGGTTAAAAGCTTCTGCGCCTTTCAGCGAAGCCAGACAGGTGGACCGGAAGGTTCTGGAGGGTGGGATAGGAATTAATGTCAGAACCTCATGCTGCCAAAAGCTGGTGCTGAAATAAACCAGATGACTCAAATGGTTTCCTGAAAACCAGCCCAGCAGAACCGCTGACATGTTTTGGTTTTGGTGACCTGAGGCGGTTCGAGGCCAGCTGGTCCAATCAGGAAGGTTCACCTGTGTGACAGGTGCTGGTTCCAGGCGCTGGTTCCTGTTGCTGGTTCCAGGTGCTGGTTCCAGGCGCTGGTTCCTGTTGCTGGTTCCAGGTGCTGGTTCCAGGTGCTGGTTCCAGGTGCTGTTCTAGGTGCTGGTTCCAGGTGCTGTTCTAGGTGCTGGTTCCTGGTGCTGTTCTAGGTGCTGGTTCCTGGTGCTGTTCTAGGTGCTGGTTCCAGGTGCTGTTCTAGGCGCTGGTTCCTGTTGCTGGTTCCAGGTGCTGGTTCCAGGTGCTGGTTCCAGGTGCTGTTCTAGGTGCTGGTTCCAGGTGCTGTTCTAGGTGCTGGTTCCTGGTGAGCAGCTCACTTTTGGCTCATCTGTGGCTCAACTGCAGCTTTGGGTTGATTGTTAGACTTTTCTTGTTCTGCTTAGAGTCTGAGTCCAGTTGATCAGACCTATGGGTTCTGATAGGATCCTGGTTCTAACACCTTGCAGAACCAGACCGGTTCTGATCCAAAGGCAAATTAGTCAGAGGGAGATTGCTGGTTGTTCTGGTTGTTCTGCTGCTTGGGATGTTCTGTCTCTCAGTATTGGGTTTCTCTGCTAGATCCGCTCATCGGTTCCTCTGGGTCAGAACCTCAGACCCGTTTCCTTGGATGGCCTGGTCCGGTTCTAGAGAATCCTAGCTGAGGTGTTTGGTTTGGGTTATGTTCTGGTTAGAATCAGGCTGACATTCTGTGACTTCTCAGCATCAGAACTTTTTCCTCTGGGTTCTTTTTGGGTTCTGTAGTTTTAACCCTAAGGCACCTTGATGTGGTTCTGTAGGTTCTGGCTCTTTGGGATCAGACATGGAGTTCTGCTTATCAGTGGTGTTTTCCTGGAGACCCGGTTGGGCCCTTTAGGGACCTTTGAGTCGGACTCATTGTGCAAACAGAGACGTCTTGTGTCCGGGTTCCAAAGTCCACAGCTGCTGCTGAACCTGATGAACCTAAAGAACATCTCAGAGTGTCTCTCTGTGTTCTGGAAGGTTCTGGATGTTCCACAGACTGAGATGGAGACTAATGAGTCACCAGATCAAACTGTTGATCAGCGGGCTCCTCTCTAAGCATTCAGTAAATAAATCCACCAGGGATGACGTCCTGCTCCTCTTACTGTAACCAGGTGTTTCCCAGGAGACGCCTTGTTTGTGTGGTTGCCGGGGCGACGGCGCGACATAACCGTACCTGCCAGGTGTGATGTCCTGGAGCAGCATTGAGGGATCAGGAGTCGAGTTGCAGGAGGAAGAAGACGACAGAGTTCACCTTTTGTTACCTGCTGCCGGCTCCAGGGCCGGATCAGGCACAGGGGGGGCCCCGATGCTGCGGTGGGGCCCCGTAGGACCACCACAGCATACATCAGAACCATCAGTTTGCTCTAATGTTTCAGTCAACGTCATCGATTATGAATCATTTATTGATAATTTGGCTGATCCTGGATCAGTGGGCAGGTTAACTCTAACAGGTCCGGTCCTGCTGATCGATGGTTCTGTTCAGTGTTTGGGTCCAAACCTGCAGGCAGACGGTAGCCGATAAGAGATCAGAGGCACGAACCGATGATGTTAGAGCAGCTAACAAACAAGCTGGGAGGAAAAAAGCTGCATTAATCAGAGCCGATAAAGTAGGCGGGGCCTAGGGCAGAAATCTGGATGATGTCACACAAAAACAGGAAGGAGATAAATTATCAGGATCAAACAGTGGAAATGGAAATGAAGAGATTTATCTCAGTGAATGGAAAATGGATTTAACAAACAAAATAAATAGTTTTCCCTTATTTTAATGATAAACACATAATTTAGAAAACATAACATTTATTTACAAAACTAATTCAATAGCTCCTTTTTAACTCCAGGGGGCTTTATGCCACTTTCAATCAGTCACACACATAATTATAATTAAAAGTACAAAAAAACACAAAAAAAAGCAGAATATTTGAAAAATTAACAAACTGATGAACAATTTAAAAATATCTGAAACAGAAATTAAATGAGAACAAAATAAATATGATAAAAGGCAAACAATCAGTTGATATGAGTGTTAGGAGGATATTTATTAAATGCTAAAATAAAAAATAAAAAAATTTTGGAAAATATTACATATTATTAGGAATAAGCTGTTGAGTAAAATTAGAAAATTTTGTTATTTAATCATTTAGCAGAAAGAGTTCATCATAATTATCAGTTTGTTCTGTTGGGTCGGTTCTGACCGGGTCAAAAGTTCCTCACCCATCTGCTCCCAGGTAGGCCCCGCCTCCCACCTGTCAGTCACCAATTAAAGGCTTAACGAGCTCAGAGCTTCAGAAGCTGATCCTCTCTAATCTGCTCCTTCTGCTGCTGACAACCAGATAGCAGCTTGGTTCTGTTTCTGACTCTCCTGTGGACCGGTTTGCTCAGGTAGGCTCAGCTTATTTATGGGTCTGGGCCAACCTAAAGTCCAAACCCAGCTTTATTCCTGTTTGTTAGGAAGCAGCCAATCGGGTCACAGTTTCAGGATCATGTGATCAGAGTGTGAGTAGGAAACAGTAGTGGTACGTCTGTTTGGAGCAGTTTCATTAGAACTGTTCTGGGACCAGTTAGAACTTTATGTCTACAGCAGAACCTGGCCAGGGATGTGATGTTTTAGAGGAGATGTCAAAATCTTAAAGTTCGCTTATTAAAAAATTTAAATAATTTAGATTGCAACTAAGAAATGGAGTAAAATTTATTAAAATTAAATTGATTTATTATTTAAAAAAATGTAAACGCAATTTAATAAAAGTAAAGAAAAAAAAATTAAAATATTGAAGTGAAATGACCTTAAATGGTATATAAACATAATTCTTTTTATTTACTATTTACAGACATGAAAGGATTCGCTACACTTTACATCGTACAAAAAAAAAAGTTGGCAGAACTTTCAATTTAAGGGGGGAAAATGTTCTGTAAACTTTTGAGTTTAGGACTCAACTTAATCATTTACCGTTATCGTTCTACTTTAAACCTCGCCAAACATAAAAAATCCCGTCTTACTGAACTTGTTTCCAGGTTATTGGAAGTAGTGACTTGAAAAATGAACAAACTACAAATGGTGAGCTAGAATTTATTCGTCTGAATTCTTTTACTCAGGCGAGTTTTAAAAAGGCAACCTTTGCCATTGAGCCAAGAAGCAAATGTTCTGCTCTCTAACCAGCAGGCCTTCCACTGGCAGTGAGGATCACTGACTGCTGGTAACTTTATACCTAAATAAGAAGCTTCATTATTATTGTACAAAACTAACTATAAAAGTTTTTTTTTTTTTTTTCCCCACATTTCACAACAAAAACCAAAAGGTAGCAGAAGTTTCCCATTTAAATATCTTACAAGGTTCTTACAACTGAAAATGTTTGTTAAAAGTTTTTTTTACAGAGTACAGTTAAAGCAAACCAAATTCAGGGATCGTGAAATTATCCAATCAGCTGTTTAGATTACTAAATTAATTTGGAGATTAAATCAGCAGCTGATTGATGATTCTCCAGATTTATCGGTAAAAACCTGTTGGTATGATCTCCTTCAGTCTGTAGTACTGTCTAGTACTCCTAGTACTGTGTGTTTCTTAGTAGTACAGCTAATGAGTCTGGGTATCCCTTTATTAGCCCCGCCCCCAGTGGGCAGGAATGACGACGTCTGCATTTTCAGGATTATTATGGACTATTTTTAGCCTCGTGCTGCATTCAGGTGCTGAGAGAACTGCTGCTGAAAGGAGGGAGGCATGTTGGGGTGGACCTTAAATCAGCCGCACATGATGGAGCTGTTATAATAATCTGGACCAATCAGACTGCAGCAAAGGTCAGAGGGTCAAAGGTGAACACAGAGCATCAGATCAAAAGGCTGAGGATGAGGGCAGAACCTCAGGAGAACAAGGTTCAAAAAGCTATTTCAAAATAAATGATATGGAAAAAAAAGAAATTCTAAAAATCTGATTCAAATACGGTCCAGAATTTAGGAGCATGTAGAACCAAGATGTCTAACGGAACCATTCAGGCCTTTCACTTGATTGGAAGAAAAGAAAAAAAAGAATAAAACCCTTTCTTATGTTTATTAAAGAGGTGCTTTAATGTGAAAGGACAGTATTTCCTGAACAAACCAGCCCTAATGGGTCCAGATTCAAACCGAACCATTCAGGTAAAATCAGCTCAGATTCTATGGAGGTAAAAATACAAAAAACAACAAAAATAACTCATTAGACCCACAATAAAGCAGGTTCTGATCCGGGAGGCTTAGTCCCTCGTCTGTGGAGGGCTGGCTCCGCTATAGAGGGTTCTGCTGCGTCCAAACATCCAGAACTGTCCCAGAATATTAACGAGTGATTCGGTCCAGGTGGAGGAAAGTTTAGAGATATCCAAAGGATCTGCTGGTTCTGGATCTGCTGGTTCTTGATCTGATGGTTCTGGATCTGCTGGTTCTGGATCTGCTGGTTCTTGATCTGATGGTTCTGGATCTGCTGGTTCTGGATCCAACACTTTGGATCTTTTCTGTTTCCTAGGAAAATAACCTGTAAAGAGTTTTACAAAGATCCAAACCTACAGAACCCGTCAAAGAGCTGATAGAACCTTATTGGGTTTCTATGCGGTACAACAGCTTCAGCTGGTTCTAAGCTCTGCAGGTTCTGGTCCCCGTGGACCAGTGGGTGGTTCTGCAGGTTGTGACCCGTGGGCCCAGGCGGTATGTAGGTTTCAGAGCTAAATGAGGAGCAGCTCCCTGCAGAGCAGCATGTCCTGGATGCTGCAGAGATCCA